TCATCATATGTATATATATATATATATATATATATATATATATATATATTTCTTTTTAATTTCTTTCAATGTAATTTTTTTCATTTTAATATTATGAAATATTTATTTTAGTTTTATCATTATACTTAATATAACAAGCTATTTTGAATCTGTAGCATAAATATTAAAAAATTGTATTGTTATTTACTGTTTATATACAACTGTGTATTTTTCTTTTTTATACATGTGTTACCCAGATTTTGGATTAATGCGTAATAAATTAATAATTTTATCACAGTTTGTTACAAACTCAAAGGCACTATTATATGTCAAAATTTCATTTTTCAATTCTTTCAACTTTGTTATGCCATTTTTATGAGTTTTTAAATTTCTTTTTCTATACCTAACTGCTGTAATCATTTTATCTAAAGTATAATGCAACCATAAAATATTTGTATAAGGTTCAAATGTTTGCCAATTGTTCCTGAAATAATTTTTAAATAATTATATAATAATTATATTATTCCAATACGAAAAACATGAAAATTATATTTAAATACTTACTTAACTTTATCTCTCATCAATCGATATATTTCAAATTGATATTCACCCTGAGCTGAAAAAAGTGTAGGATCTGATGCAAGATCATTAAATACACTACATCCTTGATATTTTATTCTTGATAAAGTGAAATCTATAATAGACACCTAAACACAGAAATTTAATATTTTTATTTATATAATTAGAAAAAAATGGAATAAAAATTGAAATATTTTTGTTTACCTTTACACCTTTACTAATCAATTCGATGTTTTTTTGTCCAATTTTAAAATGTACATAAGTTTCATTTGTCGGAGATATTAATATATTTCCCCAATGCAAGTCTCTATGTTCAAATTCAACAGCTTTTTCTGCAACAGCTAATGCTAATGCAGCCTATTAAAAATTGTTATTTATTAAAACGGAAGTAATTATATTTTAAAAAATATTAATATTAATAATATAGATTAATATTAATATAAAACTTTTATAATATAATATTAAGAAATAACCTGTAGAAATAAAATATGCGCTTCCTCTGCAGTATTAAATACAAATGCTTCTAGATCTTGACCACCATGTCCAAGTTCAAGAACAATGTATAACTGATCATCATTAAACATTGATGGACAATCATTATCCGAATGTTTTTCTTCGTCATAGATATTCCACAATTCTATAAGTCTTTCTGGATATTTCCCTTTTATACATTTAATATTTTTTACTTCTACAAATCCATCAGTATTGTATCTTGCATTGAATCTCAAATTATGTAATTCCCTAAAATTTATCAATATATTAATATTATAATTAATATTTGTTAATATTTATCATAAATAACAAAGTTATAATTACATTGCAATTACAATTTCTGATAATATTTCATGAAATTTTTTTTGTGGTTCTCCATTAACATAATCATTACCTTCTATAGGAATAATTTTTATAACAGATTTTTTATTTTCTTGTTCATAAAGAAAAACTTCTCCATATACACCTTCTCCAATTTTTCGACAGTATTCTAAGTATCTAAATATATAAATAAATTATTATATGATTATATATATATTAATTTAACACTTTTATTATATGTACGCGCGCGCGTACACACGCACGCCGCACACACACACACACCAATATATATACATACTTACAAATCTGAAAAGTATGTTGAAAATGATATATAATCTTTTTGTGAACATCTTTGTAAAATAACTTCTCTAGCTGTTAAAACTACATGTTCTTTAATAATTTGACCATCAATATCATCATGTTGAAAGTTGCATGTAGAGGATTTTCGAGGATCTATACATAAATATATATAAATAATATACAATATAAAATAAAATTATTATTTGATATTACTTACTATTATTTAATAATGTAAATCTCTGACTTTTAACAGGAACAATGCCATAAACTTCAAGAAATGGTGCATCTTCAATAGATTTTACTGTTTTATGAATTGGAATAACACGAACTGATATCCTTCTTGAAACACGTCCAAAATTGGTAGAATCACAAGTCCTACTTTTTTTATTAACCAATTCATGTTCAGATTTATTAATTACTTCATTAGTTATTTGTAATTCTTTATCACTATCATTTTTTTTTATACAACTTTGTATAATTCCTATGTGTAAAAAATCCAATTAATTACAATATTATAATCTAAATAAATATTTGTTCATGTTTCACTTTAAAGACCTACCCATTTACAACATATTTACAAAGTAATATATATTTTATTTTTTTTTTTAATAAAAATGCATATTTGGAATAAAAATTTATTTTAAAATAACATTCTTAAAAAATAAAATATATATGTAAGAAGTAGAATATGAAATAAACCATGTATACTATATCATAAAAAAGCATAAAATATTAATGTTTCAGGTTAATAAAATATTTTGTTTTGTAAAATATAAAAACGATATTCAAATGTTTATGTGATTATATATATATATATATATATATATATATATATATATACACATTGTGTATTAATCTTTATATTATGAAAATGTATTGTATTAATCTTTATTTTATGAAAATAAATTTAATATAAAAAATAATTAAAGTATAATTTTTAATTAAATAAAATAAATTAAGCATTTTTAATTATATTAAAATTTATAATTACCTTGTGTTTGCATATTCAAAATATCCTGAACACTATCTCTCCATCTTTTACCTTTTCCAATAGATAATTTTTCCAAATTAAATTCAGTTTGTATATTATTTAAAATTGATAAAGATCTTGCCCAAGATTTGCCTGGTTTTAAATATATAGGTTTTTTTATTTCTATACATTTATTATTATTAGATTCCTCTATTATATTTTCTAAAGTTGATGATCTTTTTTGTGATATTTGTCTATTCTTAATTTCTTTTCTTGAATTCATAGATTTTTCTTTCACTTTAGTACTATTATTACAATCTTCTGCTATAGCAATTAATTCAAGATCCCATTTAGAATATTTTTTTCTTCTTGTAATTCTAAAGGGATCTTGCAATTGTTTCAAAACTACATGACATGATGATGTATTGTTTCCATCTATAGAAGAATACTTTTTATTTGATATATTGTTTTCATTTGAAAAAGTTTGTTCAATTAGTATACTATTATTTTTATCTTCAATTTTGTTAGTTTTTAATTTAAATTCTACATCATCAGATGATGAATCTAAAGTTAATGGGATTGAAGTTGTAGGTAATTCTTCCCATATTTTATCATTGAAAATTATTTCTTTATCAATATTTAAAACTGATTTTTCATTTAATTTTATAAAATTAGAATGTATTTCATTATTTATTTTTATATTTTTCTCATTTATTACTAAATTATTAGATCTTTTTATTACATTATTTTCTTCAGGAAAATTATGTAATATATTTTGAATACTTTCATTACTATCAAATAAAGAACATGAGTTATTTTCATCAATAGAAAATTTTAAGTAATATTTATCCATTTTTATATTTGAAATTTTATATTCTTGTGTTAATTTATTTAACTCATCTTGTTTAGTTTGATTTTTTGAAATATTTTGTTCTGAATCTATTTTTATTAAGGATTCTCTTTTTTGCTTAGAATGTTCATTAGTAGTATAGTTAAATATAGTCAATAAATTAATATTTTTTTTATCTACATTTTCTAATTGATTTAAATTGCATTCACTGAAATTAGATAATAATTTAGATTTATCTTCAAATACACATTTTTCTTTTATATTTTTGTATATATCATTAGTTATTAATTTGGACTCTAATGAAACTTCATTATTTTCATTAATTAAAGTATTATTTGCAAGCATTATAGAATCTTCATTTTTTTTTAAATGTTCAATAGAAATTGGTGATAAAGGAATCAAATGAACAGATGGCCTAATAGGTTTACCATTAGGTGTACTACTGAATATACCTTTATATTTTTTCTCAATATTGAATGGCTTTATATATGAATCTACTTTTAATTGTTCTTTTTTAGAGCAACATGTCATATTTTCACTATTAGATTTAAAATTATTAATATTAGTATTAATAATCGAATATTGATCTAATAATTTATTATTTTTCTTCAGTAAATTATTCTCTATTACATTCTTATTCTTTAACTTATTATTCCACTGTGTTACAATAGATCTATCCAAATTAACAAAACATGGTTTTATTTCTATATTAATAGAAGATTTTATTCTTGACATATTACTATCATC